AGGAAAGGTTGGGCATGAGGCTAGCAACTCCATCCTGTAAAATTAAACAGTGCTACAGAAACTTCAAGCCACTAGCTTGAAGCCCTATGTTCCACTGGCGAAAGTGAAGGAAAAAATAAAGAAAAGAAGAAAGATGGTTTTCAGAGGCTGTCTGCTTGTCTTCAACTTATAATGCTGTTTACTCCAAAAAAATATTTGACTGTATATTCTTCGTTATGAAAAAATAAGATACTAAGGACTCCATTCTTTAAATAAAAGGAATCCCATTTTTTGATCTTATTGTCTTCCTGTAAATAAATGAAAAACACATGAAACAGCTGTTTTCAGTATTTTTAATCACATTGTGTCGGCGTGGTATAAGCTGTCTCCAAAAATACCTGTGCTTATAAAACGTAGTAGCATTTGAAAATCACGTTCACATTTTCTTCATTAAGGTGCATTCATGATATTAGATAACAACCCAAGTATCGCAACTGTCATCGTCCTACTACATTGTTTTTCTAATTTTTTTAATTTTACTTCGTTACGTTCCCAGTGGAACATAGAGCTTTAAGCTACAGCTTTGAAGTTTCAGTAGCAATGGTATTTATTTTTACGGGATGGGGCTGCTAGCCTCATGCCCAACCTCCTCTCTTTACCAGCCTTATTGTTGACTTAGCGTGGTAAAGGAGTGCGTCAACCGCGGATCAAACCCCGAACCACGTGCGACGTCGTTGGCAAGCATTCGACGCAATAAAGGCATAATCTGCTTACATCAATTAGTTTTATGAGGGTATAATTAGAGTTAATATAAGGGTGCAACGAGCTCAGCGTTAGTTTTACGACCACAAAAAATAATGAAGTCCACTGCAATTTAAAACATTTCCTTCATTGACAGGCAAAAAATCACCGGCTGGATATTATTATCTATTATACCTCTAAACACTGAATAACCATTTAACTTACTCAGTATTTGGTCTTTGAACATTATCATACCAGGTGACGTCATCGGCCCTGATTACTTTGAGAGATCAAACAGAGTTCAAATTCATATGAATATTTAGGTTTTATTTTTCTCGAATAAAGATATGCGTTAATAATAAAAGATACCTGATTAGTGAACATAGCTTGAATAAAGGAAAAACAACGGGTTGTGCATCGTTGGCACAGAGGTAGAATGCTTGCCAGCCATGCAGGTGGTCTGGGATTCAATTCTTAGCCGACGCACTCCTTTACCTCTCTATTTTAGTAATAAGACTGCCAGAGATGGAAGGTTGGGAATGAGGTTAGCAACCCCATCCCGTAAAAGAAATAAATACCATTGTTACCGAAACTTCAAGCATGTAACTTGAAGCCCTATGTTCCACTGGGAACGTGAAGGAATAAAAAACGGTTTGTGCAAAATAAGATGCAGCCATTATTTAGTTTGTTGTTTTCTCCTTAGCCACGTAGAACATAAACTATTAACTAAGCTTGTATACCGAGAAATTTATAACCTACTTGAAAAGATGACATCAAGTCAGCTAACAGGAGAAATTATACTTATTTAATTTATGCATGGACGAATCACTTTTTGAAACAATACAAAGTCAAAATATAAAATTTTGGATAAAATCGATAAGGAGTTGCATAAAAAAGGACAATAGGTGGATAAGTCGTGATGTGGCAAACTCAGACCATCAAATCACCTTATAGCGAATGGGAATAAGTTACAGCGAAATAATGCGTAGTCAAACAAAATAGATTGAAGACAACCAGTTGGCAAGGCAAGGAAAGACTGACAACTGCTTCTTTCTAAATACATAAATCAGGTTCCAATCGTTTGGTGGCAACTGCTTCGGCAGTCTTGAGCAAAACTGAATTGCTTTGTGTAGTGACAATTTTAAAAGGATTTCATCGTATCTGTCTCGTGATGTGCATCGACGAAATTCCTGTTACTGGCATTATTGAAGGCATTTGTGTTCTTAGGAAGTAGGCTTTAAAGTGCACGTCCAAAGAATCTAGGTAAGTCTCTCTTTCTGTTCTCTGTGTAGTTGCTACTATCTGTACATGTGAATTTGCATACACAGACGGAATTTACATGGGAAAATATCCACTAACCTTCAATTTCACCAAAGAGCATGTCGTTCTATAGACTGTGGTCGACGTAGCAGTAAGACAGATTTTAGCTAGTGACGTCCCTGACCATCTGTTGACTATTCCTGAACAAAATACACCCTCTCGATTATTTCACTAGGTCCTGCATGTAAGGGAGGAAATCTTGAACACAATCAAGCCAGTGAAGTCCAAGAAAGCAGCAGAACCAAATGAAATTTTCCCGAAGCACTGAGAACGGGCCCAGAGACTGCGGAAGATGTGCACATGCCATTATAACTAGAGGCTTAGAAAAGTCACCTTGATAAGCTACCGAAGAAGGGCAACTCATGTCCCTGGAAGAACTGATAGGAAATAATGTTCTTGTTCATGCCAAATAAAATAATAAGTCATGTCAGCCTGGAGATAATAAAAGATGCACTGGATGCAGAACTCCTCCACCCACCAGAAAAAGCTTGATTCAGGAAAGACGAATCGTATGTTGGTCGAGTTGCAACTCTGCGCATCGCCATCACAGAACAAAGCATAGAATGGTGGTCAAACCCCCATCTATCTCAACTACATCGAGGCCTTACTTCTCAACACTACGGTGTTTACATTGCTATATGACAATTACACGTGTCAAATGATCCACAACGGGAAACTCAGTAAGGCGTTCCACATGAATACAGTAGTGATACAAGGCTGACTGTCTATTATCACCGATGATATTCTTGGTGTTTGACTGGATCATGCGTCACACAATGAGTAGGGAGTGGGAAGACAGGAATACGCTGCACAGATAAGAAGACTCTAGAAGAGATGGATTTCGCTCATAGATGATTTATGTTTAATGTCACGCAAACTCAAAGAAGTGCAGGCGAAAACCAACAAAATGGTTGAAGAGGCTGGAAGCGAAGACAGGACTCCAGCTGAACATAGAGAAGACGGAGTGGATTGAAATAACCAACCAACAGCAACAACAACAACCAGCACCAATCACCATCAACGGGGAGATTTTTCAGAGGTTACTACCTTCACTTATTTAGGAAGCATCGTTTAAGCCACAGGCAGTCGGAAAGGATGAAGATATCAAATTTGTAAAAACTTAAGGTTTATTCAAACAGATTTAATGATAAGCAAAGGATATAGAGAATATATGCACACAGGAGGAAAGATCAAGCCTTAAATGTATGAAATGAATCACTGCTTATGAATCAATAAATTCAACAGCAGACCAAGATAGCATTAGTAGCTGGATTTAATTCTTTCGTACACAAATTTCCCGCCGTTGTAGAAGAACTGCTATGGTTACTACTGTTTGAATTATTCGGTATTTAGTAGCTTTAGTCTGAAAAAGAATTCTTCCATGCTGGTGCTATGTCTTTTTTGTCTTATTGTATATGACGGATGAGAATGTTTTCTATTTGATAATCTTTTAACATTTCATTCTCTTGCGCCACATGAAGACTTTATTATCAACCTAGCTGGTTGATTATTTCTTCAGATGATTGTCTTTATCTTTAAATAGGCTATCAAGTGGATCTACGCCCAGATGTGTACTTACTGACGTTTTATGTTTAAATATCAGGCTCACTTACAATTGGACAGCTTAAAGACAATGAAAAATTAAATATTCATACAAACTGGTAATACATCCTCATGCCTAATTAAGTCAGAATTAATGAAGTAATCAATCCTCCTAATGGAGCATTCGTGATAGCAAAATCAGAGCTTGGAGAACACTAAAAAGTTCACATTCCTATCCTAGACCATAAATGTTATACATTATTCCACCTATTTAAACACCGAAGAGGATGGTCAGCAGGTCACTGAATTACTCCTAAGATGACTAGCACAGGGATTCAGTGTTCCCTTTTCGTCTCATATAGTTGCATGTACCTGCATCTGAAGTGAGTGACTGGTTTCCCACTATGAGTAGAAAAAGAGTATTCATATTTTCAAACGTTATCACATCATCTAGTATGTGATTGGTCCAATAAAACCACCATCTTTCAAGAGGCATTATGTTTATTTCAGGATCTCACCGAAGCATTCACACTTCAGGCTGACATGTCAACAAAAACTCATGGTTTCCGTGTAATATAAATTGACCAGCTGAAAATTCAAGATGGCTTCAACAAATGTTCGAAATATTCATACCATTAACACATTTACCAGTACTTGTAATTAAAGGCATGTTGTAGACCTCCTCTTAACGCTTTTATATGCGCGATTATATGATACCTGTTAAACAAACACGTCACAGAACACTGATTAATTTACATTTCCATTGCCTTCTTTTACTCATGGTGATAAGATTACTGAATAACTGTCTCCTAACTGAATCATGTTTATGTATATGAGTACGAGTGAGTGTGTGTGTGAGCATGGGTAAGTGTTTCAGCAGACTGATCCAGTAGAGAGATAAATGACTAATACTCATTATAATATTATTCTATTGATCTGACCTGTACACCTATTTTCGTGTTTACTCATTTCGTTTCAGGTATTGAATAACTTTCACATACATATGTCTCAGTTATGGTGAATAATGATTTCGTTTTTAAATTAAACAGTTTTAAATGATTGGAAAAAAGTAACCAATCAGAAGTAAGGAAAATTATTGACCAGTCAAAGAGAGAACTGTTTTTCATTAAAAACAATAAATATAAATATATATAATTTTTATGGCATACAGTAATCGAGAGACAGAAAGAAAAAAAAGAGACCAATCGCTTTATCAAATTCACTTATGACTTAGATTATTGATAACACGATCATCATCATTATTATTATTCTTATTACTGAGAGTGAAACGAGATGTGTAATAATTCGATGCCCCCTTTTTTTTAAAAAAAAATCTTTCATCGATAATGACCACTTGATGTGATTATTTAAGAAAGTGTAATTAACAAATCAACATACGCACACATATCGTCATCATCATGCTAATTTATTCGGAATTACTAACTGATTATACTCAAAAAGATAATCAATCATCGAAATGTGATCGACTCAGCGGTAAAGAGAAACGCCTACCACGATTTGCACTATCTGAAAAGTAAGTGGAATTTCAGTACGTTTGTTTTATTTGATAATATTAATTTACGTGTTATTTTTAAAGAAAATTTTAATTTTGAAGTAATAGAAGCAGGAGCTGAGGTTTTGTGAACTGAATTGTCACATGGCTCTTAGACTGCCATTGAGTAATTGAATCGAACAAGCTCTATATCCATTATTATTATTTATTATTATATCCTTCAATTCCTAGAGGAACATAGGCCTTCAGCTGCGCACCTCCATTGCCTTCTGTTTTCTCCCAACTTTTTCATCCCGCTTCAAGTCTGCCCACACGCTTTCATCTCCTCTTCACATGACCTCCTCCAAGTCACCCCACCATCGCACTGACGACCAACTCGCCGCTTCCCATTCAGTCGGGTTCCAGTCGAGCAATGGCTTGTCTAGTGATGTCACTTGATGGTTTGTTTCCTCAGAGTATGGCCAATCCATCTCCATTTCTTCCTGCCTATTTGTTTCACAATCGGTTCCTGCTGAGTTGGTTCGCTCATTGTCAGAGATCTCTGCTGCTGATCTTTTCTGGCCCACTATCTGATCTTGAGTATTGAGCGAAGACAGCTGTTAATGAAGGCCTATAGTTTGTTGGAGATGCTCTTCATGACGCACCAAGTCTCTGATCCATATAGTGAGTAGCACTGACTTCACATTGGAGTTGAAAATCCGGATCTTATTTTGGATGCTGAGTGCTGAGTGCTGTTGACCTCCACACAGACTTGAGAGTAATGAAAGCCTGCCTTGCTTTTCCGATTCCGGCTTTGATATCCTCGTCGGTTCCGCCTGTAGTTGAAACAATGCTTCCCAGGTAGATGGGTAGGTAAATGGGGTTGTTTCTTCCAGGTTCCTCCCATTTATGCTGGCTGATTGTTGTCTGTTATTGTTGGCCAGGAATCTTCATCACCTCTGTTTTATCTATGTTCACCTGTAGTCCCATCTTTGATGCTTCTTCTGCCAGCTTGTTGCTTTTCACTTGCATAGCTTTATATCTACAGCTCTATATCTAGGCTGACAAATTTTTTTCCCCTCTTACTCAAAACTAATTCCTCGTGATTATGATGCTCATACTTATTCGGTTGGTATGGTGTCGACATTCCGAACTAGAAAAAGTGATACGGAGTGATCTTTAGTGTTACTATTATCTGTATTGCTAAAGAATTCGCCAGAGAATATATATATATATTCAACAGTTAACACAAGACAGTCTGGATTCTTGAAACTCTTTAATGTCCGTTTAACGTGAAGCTTTAGATTCAAAACACATCACTGCAGAGACATAACAGAAAACTAATAATGGCAAAAATGAGTAAATTGCTAGCCATCTTTTAATGAATTTCTAAACGCTTTGTTGAAAATGAAATGAATTGATTCGTGATGAAATGTATTGGCGCTTATCTGTCAACTTATAAATTACACGTAAGAGGTGTTATTTTTTCAAGTTGCGCTTAGTATTTCTGAATCTCTGTCTCCATCTTTGTCATGTTATCTCTTCTTTGATTCTGAACTGTGAGCTGAATCCAATCCTGGTCTGTTAGATCAACCTGAGCTAGATAAACATTTAATAGCCTCTATATTTCCACCAGCATAAAAGTGACAAAATATGATAACTAAGTCCCATATGACATATATGAACAGCATTATGACAACGTGGATTGTACAGGTCTATCTGTACATCGCACAAGGTGTGCTGCCAAACTGTTTGAATACAATTAAAATTCAGAAAACAGAAAGATTGAGCGAAGAAATATTTACTTTTCAATTAGATCCTCATCTCTGGCTCTACTCTAATATATATAGCATTTTAATTACAATACACAACAGTTTGCCAATCAAGTGGTGATAAGTTTGTTAACAATAATTAAACACTGTCAAAATGTCAATGGGTTAATAATCATTAATTAAAATTCATCCGAATTCTAGCCCACTACGAGAAAGCAATATTTACGGTAACCTTAAAATTTTAAGGCTTTACAATTACCAACAACTGGTTTTGTCATGATCAGTTTGACAAATCACTTATTGAAAATCTATTTCACAGTAAAAATCACATCATGTCATTGTGAATGTAGCTAGTAATACTCAGAGTGTCAAATACATTTTCACGGCAGATTTTGATAAGACTAAGCATGATTTTCTTATCGTAAAGGTATACTGACCTTTAAAGGCTTCTCTTGATTCCGCCTTCCTCTGCATATCTCCTGTGATACCACCCTCTCACTACACTATTACATGTTTCAATCTTAGAAACTGGACGTAATTCCATTTTAACTTGTCTGGATGAGAAAATGTGACAGTCTTAAAATCTGACACAACAGGGTTGAGAGAGATTGATGGCTGAAGCCTTATTTATTGAATTAACTAAGAATATAAGAATGCAATATGAATGATTGAATATCTTCCCTAGATATCTGAAAAATTCTGGTTTCCCTATGACAATTGAAAGAGATTATGGAGGATCGTCAAGACTGACTTTTGACTTGTCTAGTTACAGTTGGTATAACTAATAATAATAATAATCCACTTTATTCCAAAAACAGTACTTATAATACAGAAAGGAATTCTCAGCATTTTTCACAATATTGTATCTGATTCACTTAAAAAATATAAATAAAATTAAAACAAAAGTAACTAAAGGAATTTGTCCACGTTCACGATATAAAGTCAAAAATATTCGAAGCACGAACTGAGAATATTATATATAATAATAATAGTAACAGTGAGTTTGTTTCAAACAGTACTGTCGATTCAGTTTGAAAATTTTAGCATGTTATAGAATATTGAATCTAATGTTCTGTTGATATAGTATAATGAGGGGAAATACAAAATTAACAGTCATAACACAGCTTAAATTATGTTCACACTTATGAAAAAAAATAAACAAAAACAAAACACTTGAGAGGATTATAAATATAAGAAATACAATAACAATAAAGTTTGTTTGATGTTGTAAGGGTGGAGGGAACGGATTATTTAGTAGTGCAAAGAAGGTTAGTTATTTCATGCCTAACGCTATTCTCATCACATAAAGTACCTCTCAAATATGGTATAGTGGAATTTTTATACTTAGTTGTACGTGCAAAAAGTCTTTTGAAAAGACTTCTTGTTTTACTTGAGGAGATGCAAGGTTGAAGTTGCAGGTAAAGTGGATGCTTACAGTCTGACAAAATTCCTTTAGCAAATTTGTTGCATGAAATCAAGTGCCTATCAGTGACCATGTCAGCGATATGGCCCAATGGATTGCCATTCGCCCTACTGACAGTGATCAGAGTTCTACGAAGAAAGGGTAAACAGTGAAGAAGAACAGGTAAAATACATGAGTCGACGAACTGTAAGAGTCGTGGTTGGGTTATGCCTGGGTACCTTAACTTCTTAATGTAAAATGCTAGACGAAGTATTCTTTTAAAAACTGCTAAGATATGGGAAGACCAGGATAGGTCAGAAGAAAGAATTAATCCAAGATACTTAACTTCGAACTTGTTTTCTATATCAGTATTATCAATTTTCCAAGGGTCATAGGAACCAAAGGCTTAATTTAACTTTCGTCTACAACGTAAACTGAAATTGACAGTCTGACATTTGGAAGGCACTAAGTGGTTTATTCTTGTGTCCAGATGGGTAATTTTTCTAAGAAATTGCATTTCCAAAGTCATATGATTCAGATTATTATCTCACCGAGTGATATACCGAAAGTTACATAACTACTTAAAAAATTTGTAAGTAAGCAGTGCTGACTAGTAACCACTTTTATAGTAGGAGAAGAAATCGATACCCAGATAATTTAAACATATGAGTAGCAGTCGTGTTAAGATTTAGATGAATCACATGCTGATAAAATATACGCAGACACCAATTATTATGTCAGTATAACAGTAGAAATGACTTGGACCTTACTGCAGGTATTATTATGATTGTTAGAAAATGTGAACGGTGAGATCAGATGATTACATGAGAAGTATGGGAATAAACTGCTTATTCAAAATATCACAAGACAAACAGGTTTTTTTTAACTTATCGCTGGCTGGAAAAGAAAAAAAGCGGAGTTTATATTCTAAAGTGAGAACGAATGATAGTTATGAAGTGTTTACCTATCATGCACACTTAATCAGCGCTTCTTCTAAGTGTAACATTTTGAGAAAAACCGGGTAAATTACAAAAGAAACTAGTTTCAGACAGGACGTTGATTACTTGTTTATATTTGTAAGTATCTGTCTCACCTATTGAGTGGAATCCAAAATTTCTCGATCAGGTAAATCCGGGTGACGAGTCCACAGGAAGGACGAAAGGAATGTCTTGCATTCCATTGATAGCAGATACCCTTCAAATAAATTAGGTTATGGTTAGATAATCCTGGATTTTAAGCAGGTCAGGCAATTGGTTATATTCTATCACAAAATACAGGATGTTAAAAATCATTAAAACATTTTAAAATCCCCTGAACGAATAAAAACATACTAATCTGCGAATATGACTCCTGTTGAACTGCTGAATAGTACTATATTGAGACGGAATATATACATAAACATGCTGTTAATCAGGCTATCTGCCTTGATGGTGATTAGTCAAACTATTCAACATGAAAGGAAACGAATACCCACGACGTCAGAGCAAAAATATATTTGTTAACGAAATAGTTCATTGACTTTTCGACTTATAAATACAGCCGAAATACATCTACCTTACACTGAAATCATAAGTTGCGCATGTATTCCGGGTTGTACTTCTTTTGTTTTCCTTTCATGTTTCTTCGCGAATTTCAACAATGGCGTCCTGGGAGTGCGAACGCTCCAATGACCTTGAACTCATGCCATTTGTTGGCTAACGGCACCTGTTATTATGATAGCTGAAATATCAACGCTATTCACCAACTAAGCAGTGAATTTCACCCAGATCACGTTTTTAAGTACTGTTTGGAGAATGTATTAATAGCTCGTTAGGATTAGGATCAGGATTATAATTAGGATTAGGGTTAGGTATACGGTTAGGATAAGG